AGTTAAGAGTCAACCACATTACTGTGGGTCTGGAGTCACATATAGGCCAGACCAGATAAGAATGGCAGTTTCCTTCCCAAAAGGACATTAGTGAACCAGGTAGGTTTTTTCCACAATTAATTCACAGTCATCATTAGATTCTTAATTCCAGATATTTATTGAATTCAAATTCCACCAGCTGCCATGGCGGGATTTGAACCCAGGTCCCCAGAATGTTATCTGGGTCTCTGGATTAACAGTCCAGCGATAATACCACTAGGCCATCACCTCAGCTGCTTTCTGTGGTAGCAAATTCCACGGATTCACCACTCTTTGGTTGAAAAATTACCCTCTCCCACCCCACCTGTCCAGTCCTAAATGATTTTTCCCATATCCTTAGACTGTGACTCCTAGTCTGGACTCCCCCAGCTTTCTCAACATCTTTCCTTCATCTACCCTGTCTAGTCCTGTTAGAATGAGATAACCACCTCCACCTCCCCCACTTCCATTCTTCTCGCATGCAAGTCTTGCTATCATAGGAATAAGAGACAAACTAACCACTGTCCCTTGACATTCAGTGGTGTTACCATCACTGAATTCGTCCATTATCAACATCCTGGGAGTTACCATTGACCAGAAACTCAACTGGACTCACCACATAAACAGGTCAGAGGCTAGAAATACTGCGGCGAGTAACTTACCTCCTGACTCCTGAAAACTCATCCTCAATCTAGAAGACACAAATGAGGACTGTGGTATAATAACCTCCACTTGCCTGGATGAGTGCAGCTCCAAAAACACTCAAGAAGCTTGACGTTATCTAGGACAAAGCAGCCTACTTGATTAGCACCACATTCATCGGCATCCATTCCCTCCACGACTGACTCTCAGTAGCAGCAGTATGTACTATCTTCAAGATGCACTGCAGAAATTCACCCAAGATCCTTAGACAACACATTCCAAACCCATGACCACTTCCATCTAGAAAGACAAGGGCAGCAGATACATGGGAACACCACAACTTGCAAGTTTCCGTCCAAGCCACTCACCATCCTGATTTGGAAATATATCACTGTTTCTTCACTGTCACTGTCAAAATCCTGGAGTTCCAACTTTAATGGCATTGTGAGTCAACCTATGTGGACTGCAGCGGTTCAGGAAGGCAGCTCACCATCACCTTCTCAAGGGCAAGACAGGGAAGGGCAATAAAATGTTGGCCAGCCAGTGTCTTCCACATCCCACAAATGAATGAAAACACAATCAGCTTGGCAAACCTTCACTGCACTGTCTTTATAATAAGAACATCCTTCCTCAGATAAGGAGGCCAAAACTGCACACAGTATTGCAGGTATGGTCTCACTAAGGCCCTGTATAATTGCTGCAAGACATTTCTGCTCCTGTACTTGAATTCTTTTGCTATGGAAGCTACCATACAACCCGCCACTTTTAATGCCTGTTGTACCTGCATGCTTATCTTCAGCGACTGGTGCCTGAGGATTCCGCATTCTTGTTGCATGTTCCCGTCTCTCCATTTATAGCCATTCAGATTATCTGACTTCCTGTTTTTGCTACTAAAGTGGATAACCTGATATTTATCCATATTATACTGTATCTGCCATGCATTTGCCCACTTGCTTGTCAAAATTACACTGAAACATCTCTGCATCTTCCTCACAGTTCATATCTCTAGCTTTGTGTCGTCTGCAGATCTGAAGATATTACATTTAGTTCTCCATCTAAATCAATGTATACTGTGAATAGCTGGGGTCCAAGCATTGATCACTGATTTACCCCACTAGTCCTGCCTGCTGTTTGGAAAAAGACCCATTTATTCCTACTCTTTGTTTCTGTTGCCAACTACTTAATCTTCCATCTCAATACACAACCCCCATCCCACGCGCTTTAATTTTACACATTATTCTCTTATATGGGACTTTGTCGAAGTTGAAAGTCCAAATAAATTACAAGCACTGCCTCTCCCTCGCATCAACTCTATTAGGACTTCACTTTTGGTTGCCATCCACTTCCTGTTTCTTTTTGTCTGTATTTCCTACCCGTCAAGTAACATATTCTTGCATGAAAGGCTGCTCCAGAGAGTAAGAGCCTATGGGATCCGAGGCAAGTTGGCAAACTGGATCTGAAATTGGCTTGCAATTAGGAAACAGAGGATAATGGTGGTGGGTTGTTTATGTAATTGGAAGCTTGTGACTGGCAGTGAACCACTGGAATCATTGCTGGGACCCTTGCTGTTTATTAATCCTCATAAGGGCAAGGTGATGCATTTTGAGAGACTTAATAAGGGAAGGGCATATACAATGCATGGTAGATCCCTAGGGAGTACTGAGGAACAAAAGGACCATGGTATACAAGTCCAGAGATCCCTTAAGGTCGTAACACAACTAGTGGTGGTAAAGACAGTATATGGGATGCTTGCCTTCATTAACCATGTTGCAGAATACAAGAGCAAGGAAGTTTTGTTACAACTTTAGCAAATGCTGCTAAGCTCACAGATGGAATACTGTGTGCAGTTCAGGTCGCCACACAATTGGAAAGATATGATTGCACTGAAGAGAGGGCGTTTAGGAGATTCACCGGGCTGTTGCTGGGATGCAGAATCTCAGTTATGAGGAGAGACTGGACAGGCTGGGTTTGCTTTTCTTGGGCAGAGGAGGCTGAGGGGGTTGGAGAGGAGGGATCTGATTGAGATACATAAAATTATGAGATGTATAGACAGGTAGATCGAGAGAATCTCTTCCCCATGGCAGATATGTCTAAGACCAGAGGGCATAAGCTTAAGGTGAGGAACTATTAATTTAGAGGAAATAGGAGAGAGAATGTTTTCACCCAGATGGTGGTAGATATATGAATGTGCTGCCTGAGAGGGTAGTGGAGGCAGATACTCTTGCAATATTTAAAAAAACATCTGGATAAGTACTTAAAATCCAGGCTGTGAACCAAGTGTAAGTAAATGGAGCTCGTGTAGTTTGGTGGATGCTGCTTGGCATATATATATGATGGGCTGAAGGGCCTGGTTCAATGCTGTATTACTGTAACTTATGAATGAGATCTGATATTAATATTAATTTTAAAGATTGAATATTTTCTCATACGTATGCACAGCTATTTTGTATTGTAATGTGTTGTGTTCTGACTTGTGTACAAATGGACTTATGAAAGTAATCGAGAATGGAAAGCATTTGTAACATGGGGACTTCCTGTATCTCTGTTTGCGCATTCAGTCATCTTTACTGTGAAGGCTATGTGCATTCAGGAAGAGTGCCCTCAACTGTGTTTTCTTGACATCATTCCACTTTGGAAGCACACTTGATGATCAGCTTTATTTCTCCCCTCCTGTAGTCTCCCTACCATCTTTTCAGCTTCCAGTAATCAACTTTACCTCCTTCCAATTTAGGTTACCCCTCAGGTTGCCATCTCCCTGAGAAGCAAGTTTAAACCCAACCCATGACAATAACAAATCTCTCTTCAAGGAAATCAGTCCCAGTCTCATTAAGATGTAACCCCGTCGGCTTGTACAGGATCCCACCTGCCCCAGAACCGGTTCCAAGTCCTCGGAAATCTGACACCAGTCCTCTTATGCCAGCCCTCTTATAACAACCAGTTCTCCAGCCACGTACTCTATCAACCAGCCCTCCTGTTTTTATCGTCACTAGTAAGTGACGCTGAGAGTAAACCTGAGATCACTGCTTTTGAGGCCCTTCTTTTTAATCTCCATCCTCACTCCCTGAAATCTGTGTTTAGGATCTCATGCTGAAAAGTGTAACTGAAAAGATGATTGTTTCATTTAGCATTTCATGTGATTCAGGGACCGTATTAAAGACAATTTATATGATGGGAATCATATGTAAACAACGGGGACAGTCTGTTTCTCATTCACTCCCTCTCAACGAGCTTTCACAAAATCTAAAGTTAAAAACCTCAATTAAAATTTGAATAAATCCCTTCTGTTTTTAAAATTGCAAGCTGAAGTGAATGTGGGGTCATTTTCATCTTTACCCCTGAGCTATTAAATTGTGGAACAATTCTAAAACCCTTCCAATTTTTATTTATGTAATATCAAGTAGTTTGATTCCAGTAGGATACAAAATAGCATTTACATTTGAGCATTGAGAAGTAGCCTGTATTTTAAATATGCAGTTTAGAGATTGACACCTCTTTAGTGACAGGTTCAAATGGTAAACATTGAAGTAGGTTTTCAGGCTTCCTTAAACTCATGTCTCATTGTATATCTTCCTCTGTGACATTTCCATAACTTTCTGCTCTTGGGGCCTTTTTTTTTGAAGGAATTCAGGACTTTTCCCTATCTTGATACCACCAACAGCATCTTTGAATCTCTTTTCTCTGAACCTGCTTCTGACTCTCTTGGTCGTAAAACCCAAAACTGTAAACACGTTAGGTGGCTTGTTAGTCATTTAGGTAAATTAAATGACTTTTGGAACTAGTAATTTTAACTAGCTTTTATAACTTTCTAACCTTTTTATAAAAGAAAGTCAGATCTTCATACAACTGAAAATTAAACTACAGTTCCATTACTCCAGAAACTAATTTCCCAAATAATAATACATTATGAACCTTCATTGCAGTTAGGATAGAGCTCCCCTCCCTATGCTTTTTGACCTGTATCTTAGAATCTTTTATATCTGTTTTGTTGAAGCTCGCATCTGAGAGTCAGAATTTCCCTCTCCTGTACTACTATGTTAGTTACAATTTTGTCTGGAGTAGTACTTGAATCTACCACTTCCTGACACACAACCAGGAATTGGGCAGTATCAGAGCATAATCTGTGTATATACTTCTTCCTAAGCACAAACAGAGAAGGTTTGAAAGATATAATTAGATGAGGCATCTCATTATTGAAGAGCAAGTTCTAAGTGTATTGGTTCACCTTTGATTCACTTTACCAATATTTGTGATTTTGCTTTCATTTGTCCATTTTCTTTTTCTTCATTTTTCTTATATTATTGAGCATTGCACCTTTAACAAGTTTTTAATTGCTTTTAAAGTGATTTTTGGAGAAGACGTTGCCTTTGGTGGAGTTTTTCGGTGTACAGTTGGACTCAGGGATAAATATGGTAAGTTATGACCTTTCTACAGTAAGTCTTGTTTAATTTTGTTTTGCTTTAATATTGTACCTTGGTCGGATGTGTGTTCTCCAGCTGCTTCGTTCCCATTTTGAACTCTCACTGAACTCCTGAGGTTTGTCTGGTCACAGAAAGTGGTGCAGGTAGTCCTGGGTGTTGAGTTGCTAACTGCAACAGCAGCCTTCTGCTACTAGATGAAGGCTAGCATATGTAAAATTACTCACTTTTTAAAATGTTTTGTACTGCATATTGTATTTCATTTTTATATAGTGGTGCATTGTATTATCCAAGTTTTATCAGTGAGGAAGGCATATTGCTGCATGTGTATTTCAACTTCTACCTTGATTTTTCTAGGTGAGAACAGTTCAGTGAAACCTAATTCTGACTTTATCATTGATTCCTTCAAGCCAAATCACTTAAAAGCATGATTTTCAGGAACCCGAACACTTTAACTGAGGTCATATATTGTTACATTGTAATACAGTGTATTACAGATAGTAACCCGTCAAGGAGTTCAGATAACATTACAGTTGCAAGAAAGGCTATTGCTCCATTTGAATCATCATTAATGATTATAAGTTTTCTAAAATCTACTGTTCGAATTATTAGACCAAACTTGGTAGGAAAAGTTAATAGGACTAAATTATAAAACTACGGAAGAAGTTTTGAATTCCATGCCTATTAATGATTTTCCTTGCCATATCGTTGTCAGGATGAGGGACAATTTATTTTTGAAATGGCAGTTTGTCCTTGATTGGCAATTTAGGCCTGGAGTCGTAGTCTGAGCATGATTAAAAGTACCTGGACCTTTGCTGAATTCCTCTTTCCTATTTTACTCTTGTGAACTCCCTCCTGTAGCCATCAAACCCTTCTTCCAGTCTGGATTGCTGCCTGGGCCATTTTATAGATGGCCTTGAATTAACAGCTGTACAAGGAGCTGATTTTCTTCTCTCAGCCTGTTGGCTCTGTGCTGACTGGGTGTATACTGACTGGGCTCAGCCTTCTCCATTGGGACTATCAAGCAGTTAGCAGCTGTGTTCTACTGGCCTGTCCATGCACTTGAAGCCTCACACACATATTTGTTGTGTAACCCTATTTAATTTGATCCACGTTTTATATAGGTTGAACAACAGGTGATTGATGCTTTGCATTAGATTGATGCTAGGCTTTGCATTAGATTCAGATTGATTCTCAATTCAGAAGTCAAATAACAAATTTAATTGAAAGGTATTGAAGTGACAATCAGTTTATCACTTGTGAATCAAAATATTGCGGATCTGAAGATTGTGCGTAGTCAGGACAGTGGAATATTTAAAATCTACAGAAATAATGCTGAATCCATAATTCACTAGTTAGGTTGATCTTCAGTATGATGATTACACTTCAAAAGTAGTTGGTTATTAGTTTTGAATATTCTGAAGTGGTGATAGGAGCTATTTAATCCAAGTTTATTCTTAACTACTTGTGAATTTGTAGCAAGTGAGAAGAACATTTAGCCCACACTTGTCCACATTTATTCGGTAGTCAGAAATGCAGATATTTGGAAGCTTCTACTCATAAAAGGATTTCAGAAGAGAGACTTGCAGCTTGGGTGTCTTCTTCACTGACTCCCTAGGTAGTCATTAGCACAGAGGTCCCTCGTCTTTTCAAAGCCAGGTTTTCCAGTAAAGACAATGAACCCCATCTCTTATAAATAATATTTTCAACAACAGCTTAGTATCAAAAACAAGTCAGCCAAACTTATGAAGTAACAAATGAGGAACTAGTTTATTGCAAACAGAAGTTACTTGACCATAGATGTAAAAACATTATTAACAAAAGTTTTAAACTGCTCAAATATATGCAGCTACCCTTGTGGAAAACTAACGCACATGTTCACACACACTAACATGCATGCACACCTTGACACACACACATGTAAGTGCTCCCTCCCTCTCCAAGTCTAGTTTGAAAAATATAGACATATTGCAGAGTGTTCCCTTAAAATTGGTTTGGCCAAGTAATAGTTAGATTCAGGGGAAAGAATTTGGTGCAGATTTTTCCAAATGTTGCTTTGTAATTCAAGTCAATTTGTACTGGACTGTTTCCCTGGATCAGTTATGGCTAGCTGAATTATTTTCAGGAGACAGTACACTTCATTTGGAATTCTCCCTTAAGTATCTTATAGTGATGAGGCCTTCCAATTGTTTTTTGACTCTCTCATGAGAAAGGTCGAGGTTGTTGTTCCAGGCAAGTTATCTCTGTCTGTGTTCAAAATCCAAAAGCTTTATTATACCCCAAAACTGGTTCGTATGACCTCTGTCTGAAAGTACTGTACACTTAGTGACTCCAGTTGAGCAGCTTATCTTCTTTGAAAATGCAACAATTTTACTGCTGCATTCAGTCTCCTTTAACTATTCTTTCAAAACAGTAGAACATACATTTCCAGTCAATGGTATAATCAGTTAATATTTCAGATAACACGTCTTGGTGGTTAAGAGGTGACCTCCTGAGGTATGAAAAATGTTAAGTGATGTAAATTATTGCTTCTAGGTTAATTAGGCGATAGATTAAGACAACATTAAATTGTTGGAACAATGTTTTAAAACTGTCCTAGGAAACTGTCTTTGCTTGGAGACAAACTTTTGGAATCAAAAGGAAATTGCTTACTCGACTGGATAAACTCGATACTAGAAGGATGAGCTCCATAGAATAACTAACATTTTCTTGTTTCTTAGTGTAACTGGGTAGCACAATAGTATCAGTGTGATATATTATTGCTATTACTTAAAAACAAATGTTTGCGCGCTGAAATCCTAAGAAATATGTCTCAGTTAGGGATGAGTTCACTTGTGTACAATTTCCAGACAATGTTATGGCGTTTAATAACATTGTAGGGTAAAATAATTATATGAATTTAAGATTAAATCACTGGGTTCAAAAAGCATTCATGAGCTTTGGATATTCAGTTTAACATGTTTTCTATATGCTGTGTCCTTGAATGCTAAAAATGTATTGAGCAAAAGCTGGTGTGAATTAATTAAGCATTTCTTTCTGCTTTCCTTTGTAGTCTGCAATATTTTGTTTGCATTTGATGCTGCATTGGCAAAAATAAAATCATAGAAGCATAGTTATTTCCTGTACACAATTTGACTCTTTGCCCCATGGTTGACAGGTAACCGTCCATCCAGCTCAATGCCACTTTATAGTTCTTTTAGGTTATAGCAATTCAAGTGTTTATTAAAGAACTTTATGAAATGTTTTTGTGAGTTTGCTGCAGTTAATTTCACGTCCCCGCTATCTTCTGAGCGAAAGTAATTCTCTTCAATTCCCTTATAAATGTTTTTATTCACTCCTGGAATGAGGCCATTGCTGGCTAGGCTAACATTTGTTGCCCAGAGGACAGTTATGAATCAAGTGCTTGCTGGTGTGTGGTTTGATGTGCAAACCAGACAAGATAAACGTGGCAGATTTCCTTCCCTAAAGGACGTTAGTGAACCAGATGAGTTTTTACAACAATCAACAGTGGTAATATGATCATCATTGTGATGATTAAATATCTTGCTCCTCAACCTAAATCCAGGGTTTGGTCTCCTAAACCAAGACAAATAGGTGTAATCTACTGACTTTATCTAAATTCATCATTTTACACATTTCAATTAACCATCAGCCTTAAAGGTTCCAAAGAAGATAACGGTATCTTATGTAAGCTTTCCACAAAAATTATCTTTAATTCAAGCAACATCTTCAATATCTCATCTGTATCCTTTCTAGTTTTAACTATCATGCAGTGACCAAAATAGCACAAATTACTCCAGCTGTTACCTAACCAGTGTTTTATACAGTTCCAGCGTAACCCGTCAGCTGTCATGTACAATGCCTTATCCTTATGGCCAAAGTTTCCCCCAAAACTGATAACTGTGTACACATGCAACCACTCCAGATTCCTTGCATGGCGATCGGCTTCTGCACACCATTTGTGGGATTGACTACCGGTTCTGGAGGCCTACACAGCTGAAAAGTAAATTGAAAGGAGTGCTGGTTATGGTCCCAGCTGATGTTACTACTGGACAAGTCTGATCCCAGAATCAGATCTGGCTTAATCAAATCTGTTGCATATGTATCTGTCCATGACAATATTGGTGATGCAGCCACCACATAGTCCTTGTGGAGACAAACTCCCACGTTCACATCGAGAATACCCTCCATTGTAATGTGTGGCACTATCACCATACTAAATGGGACAGACTTTGAACAGATCAAGCAACTCAAAGCAGGGCACCCATGAGGTCCCATGGCTCATAAACAGCATATTTTACTGCAAAACAATCTGCAACCTTGTAGGCTGCATACTCCCCACTCAGCCATTATCATCATACCAGGGGATCAACCCTGGTTCAGTGGAGCATATAGGAGGGTATCTCAGGAGCAGCACCAGGCATACCTAAAAATGAGGTGTCACCTTGGTGAAACTACCAAACAGGACTACTTGTATGCCAGACAGCATAAGCATCAGGTGATAGACAGAATAAAGTGATTCCACAACCAGTGGATCAGATCTAAGTTCTGTAGTCCTACCACGTGCATTCATGAATGTTGGTGGACAATTAAACAACTCACTGGAGGAGGAAGCTCCACAAATATCTCCATCCTCCATAACATCACTGCAAAAGATAAAGCTGAAGTATTTGTAACAATCTTCAGCCAGAAGTGCCGAGTGGATAATCAATCTTGGCCTCCTCCAGTGTTCCTCAGCATTACAGATACCAGTCTTCAGCCAATTCGATTCACTCCATGTCACATCACGAAATGGTTGGATGTACCGGATACTAAAAAGGCTATGGGTCCTGACAACATTCTGGCCATAGCACTGAAGACTTATCCTCCAGAACTCACTGCTCCCTAGTCAAGCTCCTCCAGTACAGTTACAACACTGGCATCTACCCAAAAATGTGGAAAATTGCCCAAGCATGTCCTGTACGTAAAAAGCAGGACAAATCTAACCTGGCCAA